TCTGCTCGAAAAAGTGATGACTACTCCTTTAAGCCAGGGATGTCAAACTCATTTGAACTCATCGAGGAGCAGATCTTTGATCTTACATGGGCCGGTCTTAGTGTAAAGAAGCTTAGTTTCCCATTAGAAAAGACCAGTTACTTTGGTGTAGCGTGAATGACCATGGCTGAAGTCTTTACATGCAAAAATGAAGCTTATGAAAACACAGTTAAAAGTCCAAGATTCATGCCTTCCTTCATTTTTATCTAAAGCTGTCCAGTGGGCTGGACTGGAGTCTCCGTGAGGCCGATTTTGGCCCCTGGGCCTAGTGTTTGACACCCTGGCTTTCAAACTGTTGGGGTAACAGTGTTTTAGGATGTTAAGAAAGAGGAAAGATTCAATTTCTCACTTGTTTTATTTCACATTCATTTTCTGAACTGTGGGAAGAGGACATGCAATTTGCCCTCCACATCCGCCTCTGTTCTTCTTACCTAACATGTTTGTGGAGATTCTTGATATTATAATTTTGGAAGGAAATTTCCACACCAAGCCACAACAGTCAGCGATTTCCAGGCATCGGTAAACACACCAAGCTCCCGCTTGTTCGCTCTTCATCTGCCGGAGCTGGCGCTGACTCAGACCGGCCTTTGTAACCTTAGTTAGATAAGACGGCGGCTGTGCCAATCTGCTCTGCTCAGCCTCTTATTCTCACAGGTTATAATGAAAGGAAAGGTATTCTCTCCCTTATAAATGCCTTTGTTGCTCATCCTGAGAGGAATTTTGCTTCAGGCATTGCTTGGGTTTTCTTTTTATTCTTGTTTGTTTTTTTTTGTCTAGCATCTTATTCTGACTGCTCTGATTTAGACTAAACAGAGGATTATCAAGTTTCAAACATTTCCAGGAGGCTCTCATCTCTCATTGTGAAATCTTGAAGTTAAACTCAATTCCATCCACACGCCCTTACAGGGTGACTGAAGGGAAATTTAACCTGTAACACTAGCAAGGCTGGAAAATACAAACATTATTCGCAGACAACGTGCAACAGTCTAAACAGAGCTTCAGCTCAGGGAGAAATTCAGTCAGTCATAGAAATATGTGGCTTTCCTTCAATATTTATGTCAGAACTTGCAGTGGCCCGGTGTCAAATCCCTTAAGGAGCCATGTTCACATGCATTTCAGCTGCCAGGTATACATACATATATGGTCCAGCACCAGCTGGTAAAGTCTTGGTTAGGCGCAAAAGAGCTCCTTCATAACAGTGATATAGACTGAATAGTGCAATCATTGTGTCACAAAACAGAATAAAATCAGTTCCCAGCACTGCAATCAAAGAATTATCCATGCCATTGTTTTGCATGTTATGTAAGCTTTTATTTCTGGAGAATCTTAATGGTCAAAAATATCTGCTTTCTTTGGAAATGAGAAAGCATTACACAGTAAAACCGGAGAGAAAGCCCTGGCAGAGTGGAAGCTGCACAGGGTGGTTCTTGGCACAGCGAGTGTGAGAGGAGGGAGGGAGAAACTTCTGCTTGGCTTATGGGAGGACGTGTGGAGAAGCATTCCTCTCATAGTTTCGGGACACCTCTTCAGTCTACGTCAGATCTGCTTGAAGTGGATAAAAGGGGATGGGGACTCTCAAAGAGGGAGAACAAACAGCCATCATCCCGCTGCCAGGTCTGCTGAGTGATATTAAGGAGGCTGGTTTTTCTTTTTCACTCAGGAGAGATTGCTTCAGCTGGAGAAGATGTGGAAGGTCTTTGTCGTCGAGATCTTCTGCTTTACGCTGGTGAGGAAAAGGTGTCTTATGCCTGCTGTTATATTCTGTGGGTGAAAGAAATGTTGATTACAAAGGTGGGATGTTTGGTCTAACCTCAGGTGTCAGCCTCGTGCCCGAAGGACTGCCAGTGTCCCCTTGAAGTCCCAACATGTGCAGACAGCGTCAGCCTCGTGCTGGACAGCTGTGGATGCTGTAAGGTTTGTGCCCGGCAGCTCTTTGAAGACTGCAGCAAGACACAGCCATGCGATGCTGCGAAGGGACTGGAGTGCAACTTCGGAGGGTCGGATAAGGGAGTCTGTCGAGGTACGCTGACTTCATTTCCCTTTTCTGATCTTTTTTGTTTTTCAACTGTCACCTTTTCCCTTTTCATCACATCAGCCTTTCCCTGCTTCTGTTTAACAGCCAAATTAAACGGGAGAACATGTGAGTACAACAGCAAGATTTATCAGAGTGGGGAAACCTTCCATCCTAACTGCAAACACCAGTGCACTTGCATCGACGGTGCAGTCGGATGTGTCTCCCTCTGCCCACGTGAATTCTCGCTGCCCTTGTTGGGCTGTGCCAAACTAAGACGGGTCAAGGTACCGGGAGGGTGCTGCGAACAACTAGTCTGCCCTGAGGAAACAGAGGCACAGAGCGCTATGATAAAAAAGCACAGAAGAAAGTTCAGCAAAGTCAAAACCACTGAAGACGACCTCTCCAAAAAGAACGAGTTCACCTCTGTGTGGGGAGAATCAAAGTCTCTGCCTGGTGAGCAGTCTTGATATTTATTGCATTTAAGTCTTGCTTGCTTTCATTATTTTAACCCACCTTTAACTTAAAAAATATCTGCTTAAAAACATCTGCACAGCTTTCAGGAGTTATTCAGTGGACCACATGTTTGCCAGAGGAGTCCAGTGCATGCCTCAAACCACAGCCTGGTCACCCTGCTCCAAATCCTGCGGCTCTGGTGTGTCCACGAGGCTGACCAACCGCAACAAACAGTGCAAACTGGTGAAAGAAACTCGGATCTGTGAAATCCGTCCCTGCAAACAGTTGACCTCGAAGGTACACCATATGCTGATGAACATATTTCCAATTTCATTGTACTACTGTACTATGTATGACTGTGCAATGACAATAAAATGTTATCTTATCTTATCTTATATACAGTGATTATTTCATTAGAGGCTGAGAACCCATCCATGTTAAGACTAAAGCCTAGATACATTCTCTCTTGCAGAAAGGTCAAAAATGCAGTCACAGAGGAAAAGCAAGCCATCCAGTTCACCTGTCATACGCAGGTTGTCGTAGCCTGAAAAAGTTGCAGCGCAGGTACTGTGGATCCTGCTCAGACGGACAATGCTGCAGGCCACACAGGACCCGGACAATGCCTCTCCATTTTCGGTGCAAAAACGGAGAGACCTTCAGGAGGATGGTGATGACGATCGAATCGTGCAAGTGTAATCTCAACTGCTCCAACAACGCTAAAAAGACACCTGAGCTCTACAGCCCTCTCGATGACATCCACAAACTGAAAATTTAACCGAAAGACTTGATTTAAGCGCAAGAAGACTTCTGCTTCATATTATTGGAGCCTTGTGGTTTGCTTCTTTGTGAAGCTGCTTTTAAATGGTGAATGCTGCATTTTAAAAAATGTTTTTCCTGCTTATTCTTTGTACATACTTAATAATATTTAAGCCTCTAATGACAAAACATGTTAAATCGCAGTGTGGAAAGTTATGGCAGCTGCTAAATGTGTCGTCACGCGGTGGCTGTTTCTTTTGATTCACTGCACTCGTGTTATTTAAAGGGATTTATGTTTCATACTTTTTTTTCATTTTAATGCAAAGTTAATGTTAAGCATGGAAAACTGTACTTTTGGTTTACTGTCCTGGTCTCTGTAATTGGTTGTCAATGCAAAACAGAAATATGATTGAAGCCTGGACACACAGACTGTTAATTTCATGGTTAGCAGATTATAATCTCCAATAAATTCAAGGAAAACCAATTCAGTTCCCCACTATCTTACTTAAGAGTTTGTCTTGAGAAAAACTGGAAATTCTCAGGGGGTCTTTGCTGCAACGATTTTCAGTCTCTTTAGCATCTGGCTGACCTACTTCTGAGAGGACCTACATGTCACTGAATAGTTTTGGGAATGTCTGTAATGTAAACTTCTCAGCAGTTTGCCTGGTGCTGCACAGATGCTGGGCACAAGTTGCAGATTTTTGCTTTCTGGCAGTGGTATAGGCTTACACCGATAATCTAAACCCTCCACTGCGATTTACGATACGCAGAATAGAAGGCAAATGTGACTGAAATAAGACTGTGAATTGCACGGCCGTGGCTGTTGTTGCTCTTGTGTCCTCTTCAGTATTTCTGTCAAAGGTGGGCTCTGCTGTGCCATCACTTGGCTCTGTCGCAATCAATCACTCTGTCTCTGCTGCTGATTAGAGAGATGCTGGTCCTGTCCAGCATTCACTAGATGCACCTGGTTAAGGTCTCATTGAAGACTGCTGTTTGTGATGCACACACTAAGATGTGTTCTGCTGATTCGGTTTTAGGGCTATGAGCAGATAATAAGGAGCAGTGATGATGTTTTTGAGGTGCTTGTGTATGCCTGGGGTTGTGCACACATCAGCCGTTTCTTTTGTTAAGCTACATTAGGGAAAAGGGTATTGCTGCTCTGCTCTTTGTTTTGGGCAGGGAGTTATTTTCTTTTGAACTTTAATAATCTCTTGAACTCTATAAATCTCCCGTCTGTTTTTTTAAATTTTCTTTGATTTGCCAACCCCTATTTATCCATGCAGTTTGCCTCTTTTGTAATTCATAAATCTTGCGTTTGGCTGTCTGGTTGAATGGCACTTTCCACCACCCCTGAGCTGAGCTGGGACATAACTACTAACCCAACCAACAGGTTTACGCAGAGCTGCAAGGGTTTATGCGTCAGGGCTATCAAAGTTGTTGAGCCTAACAAGCACATAAGCACAGGGTGTGCCCATCTCAGCGCTGAAATGCCGAAAGTCAGATGTAAGCAGAAAGCAGCAGAAAAAAGCAAATTCCCAAAGTGATCGACAGAATTACGTAAACAGGCAAGACCACAAGAGCAAAGGAAAAAAACATAAGTACTGACGCACGCAGCCATGAAATCGTTCCATCCCCCGAAGGAGAGCACAATAGAGCTTTGTCTCTGAGAACTTGAGAGGAGGCCTGCTCACTCGAGGGAATACGTCCGATGCAGGAACACATCAGTCTTTCAGAGGTCTGGACTCACAGTAGTTTATTACCATAGATACAGCAGGGAAGCACAAGCAACAGTGAGAGAACAAAAGAAATAAACACAGTACATTTATGGCTCAGTTTTTCGGTAAATCTCAGTAAGTCACGCTGCAACTGATACCGGAGCTCTTGTGTTTGCCTCCAGGCCAGATTAATATAAGATTTTTATTAGACAAACCAACAACAGAGATAGAAGTGGGCAGTTACATTTGCAACCTAAAGGCATGGACTTCACAGCTAATGGCCACACATAATTATTCTCAGTCCAGCTGAGAATCCTAATATAAAACACAACCAGTGCACACCACACCTTTGCTATGTCCACTACCAACAAACAAACAAACGCCTGTTTCCAGCACCGGGAGGATGACAGGGAAATTAAAAGTAAAGACGCTGAATTTTGAATCAGCTTCACTAGTCAGAGCAGAAGATTTATTATGGGTGATGGGCAAAGTCACAGCTGGAAATATGGATTCATTCTATCGCAGGTAAACACAGCTGGGACAAAATGTGACCAAACAAAAAGTCATTTGCAATTAAAATTAGATTTTTTTTTTTTTGTGAATCCAAAAGTTTTGCTTTCTGCTGAACTGACGGTGGGAATGACGGCGTGGAAGCTTCCACAGTTATCAGCGTTATAAGATCAAGCCCGTGGAGAAGATGGAGCAGAAATCTGTTTCTAAATGTATAAACTGCTTATTGCGTATTGATAGCAAGAATGTTATATTTGAATTGGGATTTATATTATTCTGGCAGCCTTTAGGGGCTAATTTATAATTTTGCCAATTATCAGATATCGCAACCCTGTCAGAATGTAAATGGTAAATGGCCTGTATTTATATAGCGCTTTACTAGTCCCTAAGGACCCCAAAGCGCTTTACATATCCAGTCATCCACCCATTCACACACACATTCACACACTGAATGTGCAAGTTTAAGTGAAGAGGGCATAGTGTTACACAAGGGTGGCATTTATTTCAGGTACTACACACAGTGTGCTACGTCTTTAATATGGCAGAGTGTAGATAGCCATTACTGGCAGCTGGGAAACCCTTCCACCAGTGATGCACTGTGCTGTGCACCACATTTGCATGTTTTCAGTTCACTCTGAATTCATTCAATTCATAAATTCACATTTTAATCACACATGTATCTGACTTACAATCAAACATTATTTGAGTGGAGTGCCTGCTGCTTTACTTGCACATGTAATTTATCATCGCACACGTGCACTGTTTGAATGCATTATAAAGACACAAAGGTTACTGAAAAGGATGTAAGCACCAATAAAATGTTTCGTTTTCAAGCACCACTTGCATTGGCCAACAACTGCTGTCATAATTTCGTTGGTGTTCAGTTGCAGGCTGTGGAAAAAAGTTGTTCAGCTGTAGCCACTTGCATAAGACAGATCAAGTACATACTGCATTGTGCCTAAAATAACCTGATTGCTAGTCCTTCTAGCAATTTCGTGTTACCCTGCTGGAAAGTCCTTTTGTTTTGTTTTTTATAAATGAATCTATTAAAATTTATAAAATAATAGAAATTGAAAAGAGGTTTCCTGCAGTCCAGTGTAGTCTTTGCTATCTTACATTCACACTTCAAATGTGTAATATTTATGCAACAGTACTATTAGGTGTTACTCAACTCAGAGTTTGGCCAATCTTATGTAACAGTTATGCAACAAGCTCCTTGTCATACGGACAGAATAGCACCAAAATATCATAGTTCAAGATGTACAAACATCTGAAAACATTACTGTATTTTAAAAAAACAGCAGCAGATTACTTGATTCCTGGAAATGCAGTTCAAAAATCTGAATGTAAAAGTAGAAACTGATCAAACCAATTAAAAATCAGGGTTTAGTTACCCCCATGTTGCCCTTTTAAACAGACCCAATAAATATCAGAGTGCAAAACAAATCAGGATTTAAAATGCAAACCTCCATCATTTCAGAAAATAAGATGTTGATGTTTGCAGTCCTTCATCAAACATGGCCTTATAAGAGTTTTTGAGGAAATCGACATAATTCTGAATGCTTCGCTTGTGGCTCTCTGATTGGTCCAGGCTAAGCTGCAGGTCCTTCAGACGTACCTCATACTGCTTCTCTGCCTGCAGATTGAGAGACACACAGACAGATAATACAGCTCAGCGCTGCCTTCCAAGAAATGTTCCATCTAACGTGAGTGCGTCTTCTCTATGGCCCTTACGTTGAGCTTGCTCTGGCGAAGAAGCCTCAGCTCGCTTTCCCTTCTGCTCTTCTCGGCTCCCAGCTCCAGGATTTTGGTTTGAAGAGCCTCTTCCCTGGAAACAGCCTCTTCTTTCACCTTAGTGACCTACACGGGGTGAAAATGTGAAATATCATTATGTGATGCGCCATTTTCTGTACGATAAATCTCTCTTTGACACCAAACTGGAGTAACACAAGTTGTTTTATACAGATACATGCATATCTAGCTTTGCCTGTTTACTATGTAGCTCCAGCTGGATTACTTACGGCATGGCTTCAAACAAATCTCGACTGAACTGTTAGGTTGTAATGTCTTACTTGATGATCTGAGTGAAGAACAGGTGCTGAACTGTTGGTCAGCACTCCAACAGCTAACCTGTACCTGTTGTCTGACGTCTGCTAAAGCTGCCTCCAGCTGTCGGCTGACGGCCTGACACTCTGATGAGCGCTGATCCAGCTGCCGGTTGCTGTAGCTGAGAGCTTCCTCCTGAGCTGCGAGCCTCCGTACCAGCTCCAGGTTCTCTTGCTGCAGTTTGTCTGTCTCTCTACACACACACACACACGCACACACACACGCGCGCGCACACACACACACACACATAGAGTAAGCATCAATTTCTATACTGATAATATGAGCAGGTTTTTGATATTTGAGTTCTTACTTTTGGATAGAAATCAGTTTTTCTTGTAATTGTAAGTTGGCCTCATGAATGGACTCCCTCATCTCTGCAGATGATCTCAGCAGTTTGCTTTGACTCTCCATCTGCGTGTGCAAAACATAAAATTCAGAATTGCCTCCACGGGCTACAAGTAAATCGTGCAGAAAACATTTAATCACACCACGTGCACAAATGCTACTTTAAAACAACAACTACCTCCACGATCTGCTGAACATTTATCAGCCTCAAATCGAGCAGATTCGAGATAAAAACTCAGTATTTCTGACGGAAACACGTGGTCGTCTGGTTCTACCAGAGATCACACTGGGGAGCACAAAAGACTCGCTAGTGGGCTCAACCTAAACATTGCACAGCAATCACAAACATCGAAACTCACAGCAATATTAGAAACCACAATGCACCAGCGGTCACCTGAGGCTATACTGCCACCCAGTGGTCAAAAAATAGGAAAATGACTGCATTTTACATTGACCACAGCAGCTGGCTTTGCACACCTTAACCTGCAGTTGCCTAATGGACTCTGACTTTTCTGAGCACTTCCTCTCCAAGCGCTGCAGGTTTTCCTGGCACTCAAAGAGACTCTGCTCAGCTGCATTCAGTAACTCGGGGTAAGCGTTCAGTTCCTCCACGCGCCCCTGCAGCTCCTGCCTCACCTGGGCTCCAGAGGAGGAACGGCACAAAAAAAAAAAAAAAAAAAAAGAGTTGGGTTTCGGGAAATGAAACATAGTAATATGCTTTAAAACTCAGCACACCTCTCCAAGAGATGCTCACGGATGTACATGATTCATTCAGCTGTGGTTATGCAGTTGAAAAAAGAAAACTAAGTGCACAATGACTGTCCATTAAACAGCAGGTGAAACAGAGCTGGACAGACTTGTAATGGGCTGTTAGAATGAGTTTTTAGCTTAACAGAAACTGTGCATGTAACGTAAATAAAATAAGGCAAATTAAAGAGAAGGGCGGTGGTACCTTCTCAACTTCTGCCTCTTTTCCATCTCGTGTCTTCTCTGTTTCTCTTAAAAGACTTGTATATTTTATCTTTGAATCATGGAGCTCAGCTTGAAGTTGTGCAACCTGGAGGTGAAAAAAATACAGAACATTAACATGAAACCTGCTGTGGCCTTCCCTGTCATTAAAAACTAGTGTCATTCATTCAGTGGCTTCTACAGACCACATTCTGTATCTGTAAATAATAGGTTTCTTGTAATCCTGTTTGGAAACTACTTTATCCTAACTGTGTCAGGAAAAAAATGACCTTCAAACATGATAGAAAGATAGAAAAATACTAATAAAAAAACAAGAACTGAAAGGTTAATATTTGAAATTAATAGATGAGAAGTAAAAGGTTTGAAAGATTTAAGAACATAAAACACTCTTTGTTGTGTGTCAGTGTTTATTCAGAAATGATCTTTAAGAGGATCAAATATGATGAAAGAGTGCCTTTTTTTTCAACATTGCACATTTTTTGATGTTTGTTGACTCCAGAGTAAAGTAGTGGGTCTATAAAAATAACAGTCATTTACAAACATGATTAAAAGTTTCCCTGCAGAGAACAAGGGATGGTCTAGGTCTGGTTTGTCAGTGCTGGAAAAAAAAAAACTTTGATACGTTTGATTTTTGAGGCTCTGCCTGCACAAAAAAAGGAAGAGGGCAGCAAACCAGATCCTCAATTCCTTGCTGTGAATTCACTGGACAGTCACCTGTACTAATCTTGCGTGCATCGGACATCTCACAGGCACAGCGCTGCGGAGCTGACCCACTGTCACTGGGTGATGTCTGCAATATTTCAGGGCTGCAGCACACGAGAAAGTAAAAGGTTTTAAATCAAAACACAAACCTGATAATGACACTGTTCAGCTTGGTGCTTCTTCTCCTGTGAGACGATCTTCTCCTCTACGAGGGCAGACTCGCACTCAGCGAGCTGCTGCTCCAGCTGAGCTACAGATTCCTGGGATAGCAGAGAAATCCAAACAGTTTTAGTAAAATAAGGTCCTCCTAACTCCTAAATATGGAAACCGGACTTCTTGCAACATGTCTGTGCTTTTTGCCTTTCACAGTAATGACTCTCACATACAAGCTGTTCAGTAACTTGTACCTTGAGTGTTGCATTATTTATGCCGAGTTCTCCGTTGTCTGAGCTGAGTTTTTCGAGCCTTTGCATCAGAGTTTCATTTGCTGCAGTTAGCTCGTCCTTCTCCTTCTGCACTCTCATTGTCAAGTCTGCAATTTGGCTTTAATGGAAACAGACACTTACAGTTAATGCATCATCTGAATATTGATGTACTCAGAAATGACAAATGGCTGGGAAGGAGAACCAACCAACCTTTTCAATAAGTCTATATGAGCAACGAGTTTGTCTTTCTCATCTGTCGTCTGCTCCTTCTGTCCTCTCCTTGAGTCTCTCTCTGAATGGGCTTTGGCCAGCTGAGCATCCTGTTTGCCAAACAAGACAAACAAAGATCAAACGGGATCCTCAACTGCTTCTGAAGCCAAAATAATGAACCAATTTGACCTCGTACCTTTTCCCTCAGCTGTGCGTAGCATTTCTCAATAGCAGCTTCAAATCTCTCCGCTCTCAGTTTCTGAGCTCGGGTGGCTTTCTTCAGAGATTCTTTGTCCTGTGCTGCCTTCGCAGACAGAGAGGTGATAGACCCCTTCAGATCATCAATCTCCAGCTTCTGCTCGGTTATGAGTCTCTCCAGAGCCTGCAAAGACCATGAACCCACAAGTGTGCAGTTTTAATTTATACATTAATAAAGCAGTTTAGTCTACAGCGCAGCCAGCTGATAAAGGTGTCTGTACCCGTAATTGTACAGTAAGGCGATTGTTTTCAGCTTCCTTGTTGCGTAGCTGTCCCTGTAGGTGAGCACGTGTTGCCTCTGCTGACTTGGTCATGTGAACTGCACTCTTTACGTTCTCCTGTTGAAGCCAGCGTAAACATATAATTTCATGGGCAATGACTTAATTCATCCGCAAATGATCTCTGCTGTACTTACCTGCTCTTTTCTCCGCAGATCTATCAGCTCCCTGACCTTCTGTTCACTCTCACTCAAATCTTTCTTTAAATTCTGCAAGAAAAAACATGGAAACCAATGCATATTATCACATCACCATATCTTCACTTTAGGTGCATTAAAATCGCTTTTGTAAAGTTAACACCTTTAGAGTATGTCCTGTGACATCAGAACCAATGTGGCTGTGCTCTCACTAGTTTAATCACCAAAGGCTGCCCCTTTGCCCCAGCCCCTTCCTCCAGCTCATCTGGGGGAACACCAAGGCATTCTCAGGCTGAGAGATATAATCTCCAGCGTGTCAAGGGTCCACCCTAGGGCCTTCTCCTGGTAGGACATGCCTGAAACACCTCACTGAGGAGGCATCCAGATGCCCAAACCACTTCAACTGGCTCCTTTTGATATTAAGGAGTAGTGGCTCTACTCTGAACACCTCCCAAATGCCCAAGCTCTTCACCCTATTTATAAAGGAGAGCCCAACCATGCTTGGAGAAAGCCCATTTCGGCTATTTTTATCTGTGATCTCTTTCTTTCAGTCACTTCCTAGAGCTGAGTCACACTCAAAGGTAATAAAACAGTTGAGCTGATACTGAAAACTATATTTCTACTTCTGTTCCCCAGAAAAATTTAATCAGTGAGGGAATCTATAAAGAATTTGATCACAGGCCGAGACAATGGAATTTGAATAAATGAAATATTATTAATAATCCATCTATCTAACCGCTATAACTTATCCTTTATCACTTTGTTTCACTGACTAAATCTTCACAAGCTAATCACAAAGCTTAGTTCCCTTAAACTTCCTTCTTTTGTGCCAATGCATAGGTGTAATAAAACACTCACCTCATTTTCACTCTCAGCCTGCATGATCTTCTTCAGCAGCGTGTCAATCTGCTGGTCTGCATCAATTCGATTTGCCTTTGCGGAATTATTTAAAGCAAGGACATAAATAAACACATTTTCAGACTAAATACAGTTGACTTATACGGTGTAGTAGCAGTTTAACAAACCTCTGCCTCTTGGAGCTGTTTCAGTTTCTGTCGCACTGACTTATTAATTCGTCTAAAGTCCTCTAGCTTTTCCAGCAGAAGCCCACGCTGTCTTGCAATTTGGCGTTTATCTTTGGCAGACTGTCTTGAATCCTTAATTGACATTAAAAAAAAAGAAAATTAGAGAAAATGCAGGACAGCAGTTGCAAAAACATATGTTTAATGTAGGAAACCCTTTGGCTTTACACAAAGCTAGCTTTATCCAAAATTGCTGCAGACCTACAGCATACTCATCGTCGATGGAGTCTTTAAACGACACTAGCTGGATTGCTGCAGAATTGGCAGCTGCTTCTGCATCCATTAGCATTTTCAGGAAAGGATTATTTTTATTGCCAAAATCTCTGAGACTAAAATAAAAAGGAAAGCAAGAAAACACTTTGAATCAGTAAAGTTGTGGTAGCTGGCAAGTGCATATTCAAATGCATCATCCTTGTAGGACCTCACCAGCTGATCTCACACTCTGGGGTTCCTGTATGGAGACTGCTGCGTGCCCTGGTTCTACCAACAGGCTCATGACTGCTGTCTAGGTCGCCACGACTCAGAGTGAAATCCTCCCTGGTACCGCTGAAACCAAGGGGGGGACTTCGAAGGTCATCCTCTGGAGACATGCCTCTTACTGTCAACAGATGTGCATATAATATGCTCAAATGATATGTGCAAATATACTATGCGCAAAAACCGGCTATGCATGGGAAATACAGAGTTACACAGGCAAACCTCCAAGTGGCATCCCTGGGTGAAACCGAGGAAAGCGCGTAGTCCTTCATATGACTACTGGACTGTGGAGTCACAATATCATGTGTGACAATTTCTTTAGCATCTATGATCTGGGGCAATACCTTCTCAGGAGGAAATTTACCATGGTGGACAAAATAAAATAAAATAATACAACTTTACTTTACTATAACGTTACTATAGTTAATAATATTAAAATAATAATAATCAGAAGAAATGTATTTTAGACATTTTGTTGTAATACTTCTCAGTAATAGTTAGGTAATAGAACCACAACCTTTTATTTCTTCATAAAATTCTCGTAAGGTTCAGTTTATCGGGTTTTTTTTTAGAATGAAAAGAAGCGATATGCTGTAATTCAGGGGTGTCAAACTCAAATACACAGTGGGCCAAAATTCAAAACTGGAACAAAGTCGCGGGCTAACATTAATATTTATTGAAAAAAAAAAAATCTTCCTCCAGATTTAAGAATGAATCTCTTCTTATGGACTCAAATAATTTTTGCTGGAAAACTGAATATGGAACAAGCAAAGCTTAATACTAAACAATATATATATTAGCTGTATAATACCAGTAGGCCAGCTCTAATAGTAATTTGGTATGGCTTCGCGGGCCAAATGTAATTAGGCTGCGGGCCAAATTTGGCCCGCGGGCCAGAGTTTGACACCTGTGCTGTAATTGATCATTTTAATTCATAAAAAAGCCTAACAATGTAACCCATTGGTTACAAACAAACTGGATGATAAACCGCTGTTTTGAGGGTATTTTCTGGGTTATTTAGAACACTGGTCAAAGGCGACCCTTCAACATAAGAGATAGTTACAGACAGCTAACACAAGAGGAAGGTTAAAAGTCCTGCTTGGACATGAGAAAGCCAATCGCCAAGGAAGCTACTTCTTAGCAACAGACAAGGTTAAGTGGCTGTTAAGCTTTAAGGAACTCTAAGCGTAGCAAGCACTTTAGTAATTATACCAAGTAAATCGCCATTCAAGTCTAGCGTGTTTAATAACGCCCAAACCAAGTAACCACTTACAAAAGCATGCCTGAAAATTTAAACAACACTTACTCCTTCGCCTTGTACCTCTTGTAAATAACGCTCCTCCACTCTGGGGAGTCGCCTCTTGGAAAGTCTCACTCGATTGGTTAGATGTGAGGCAGCGTAACGACGTCAACTGACTATCTTTTTGTTGATTCGTTCCCTAAGGGTTGAATGGGCGGGGCCAAATTTGATTAGACCCGTAAACAGCCAATGAACAAGAGAAAGCAGAGAGCCTGGTTGAAACCATAGAAACGGAAAAGAAGTTTACTGTCGCGATTGCTAGTACGCCATCCTCGGGAAGCATCGAAGATCATTTAAAGAGATATATATTATTAAGTAAAGGTAAAAATATAGTATGACGTGGTTTAGATATGTACGCAGCTAAGTTTGGCTGATTTACATTTACCTTGCTGTTGCGATACTGCTTCGCTATCCCGGAATTTTGTAAAGATAAGTTAGCTGAAAAGCTAATGCTAACCAGCGTCAGTTGAGTGGAAATGTTCAAAGCTAAAATACTCTTTGTTGGTCCCAATGAGGTGAGTAAATTCTCATTTGACTGTACACCGGTTGCTATTTTACCTTTCAGATTCCAGCAGGTAGCGAAAAGCGTCAACAGTGAAATTTGCCTTGGCTAATATTACCAGAGAAAGCACTGGACTTAAGTATTCATACCCTTCACCGTTACATTTACGCTCCGAGTTTATTTGTCACTGCTCAACAAAGTAATGTATAAATTCAGTCGTAACGAAGGGGAAAGGAGTGATAAGTACTATGCAAAAGTCTCGAGCCACCCCTCATGTTTTTGTTTATATTTTGATAGGTAAATGGGTGCAGAGATTTATTGAAAAATGTGCAAACATAGATTGAAACACAGTATATTAAATTAAAAACTGAGTTTGTAACATTATAACAAGTTTGGAAGTCGATATTTGGTATGATCAACTTTCAACGAAAGTCGGAACTCTTTGAGACACGCTTTCGTGTAATTTCTTTAAGTACCCTCAGGAATATTTCTCTACGGTTTTTGAAGGACATTCAAAACCATCCTTTAGATGGTGGCCGACTTTTTTCTGTTCTGTTGAGAACTGGGCTCTGGGGAGCCCAATAAATGGCTGGTTGTGTTCAAAATGCGTGCTTTTCAGTTGTACTATTTGTGTGTGCATTTGCTGCATGGGCAATATGTTTGGGACTTCCAATAGTGTTAACATACTACACAGGTCATGAACAAGATTTTTTTTTTAATTTCCTTGTAAGTGGGCTAAAGCACTTCATTAAAAGTAGTCTAACATAAATATAAGTGCTGTAATTTGATTATTTTAATAAACCATGAAACTTGGATGGATTCGATGCTGGCGTGACCACAGTGCATCCATCCATCCATCCATTCTCTTCCACTTACCCTTATCAAGGTCACGGAGGGGTCTGGAACCTATCCCAACTGCTACAGGGCCGGGTACACCCTGCCAGTCTGTAACAGGGGTTCAACCAGAACCATGGGACCAAAATTATATGTTTGTAACAGGCTACTAATAACAAAGTGCCTAGAGATACAATTTAAGACAGGTTTGTTGCTGAGTTGTCTGTTCTGTGTAGACACAACACTGGTTTATCCCTTGAGTTAAAAGGTGAAAAGGCAGACAAAACTTTGAAAGAGCTTCAGAAAGCCTGGAGAACTATTGCTCGAGACCAGTTTTAAAAAATTCTGGCTCCTTGGAAGAACGACAAAAAGTAGCTCAAGACTTTTGCACAATATTAAAAAATAAATAAATATCAAAACTTACTGTACTTGTTTATATTAATTGAGGGGTGTGTATTGGTTTTAATGTGCTCATACATACAAGAATGCTTATTTTGTGCCACCAAGGAAATGATGGAGGTTGGTACTGGATGAGGAAGTCAGGAGTAGGGTGAGGGTGATGGAAGACATGCACGAGGACAGGTTGAGTTTAGAGACTAAGTTGGTGAGGCAAGGATGATATGTTTTGGACATGCACAGAGGATGCTAATAATGAAGCTACAAGGCATGAGATAATAAGGAAGACCACTGAAGAGGTTCATGGATGTGGTGAAGGAGGACACAAAAAGGGCTGAGGTGGCTGATGCGGCAACCCCTAAAGGGAGCAGGTGAAAGAAGAAGAAGGGACATATTCCACTTTTTACTTTTTTATGTAATACTGGTAGTTAACTTTAAAGTTAATATTTACTTAAAAACATGAGAGTGCAAACCTCCACAAGGCAGTTCACTCATGAATAACTTGAGCTTGCAGCTCATTCTCTTTCTCTTGACTGTACTTATTTTAAAGATATAATGCATTTTTGGGTCAAGGTGAAAGAAAGGCAGATATGAAATGTGACATGATATTTGGATGCAAACTAGTGTGCATCCAAAGTGTGATATTGTGGTCAGAGGTCAAACGTGACATTTCAGATCTTTGTATGGTACATTCTATATGTTGAAAATGCACAGAATACTTACAAGAATCACTGTTTCTAAGTTCTAACACTTTTTTGTCAATTTTCAACCAGTAAATCATTAAGTTGACCCCAAAGACCTGTTGGATACAAGTCAAATTTTAATAGCTTGTAAACATGGCCCCACTCTACACCCCTACAAAGTTTTACCAGAATTCATTCAAAACTTTTCAAACTATCGTGCTTACAGACAGAAAGAATGTCATGCATGCAAATGCTACCAAAAACACGACTTCCTTGCCGGAGGTAACAATTCCCGTCTGTCAGGCTGGGTAATGTGCTACTATTTTGCCATCGTACTTAAAGCCATCTGCTTTTCTGTTTTTCAGAGTGGGAAAACCGTTCTTGCAAATTTTCTCTCAGACACAACAGAAAATGTGGGCGGTGAATACAGACCTACTCAAGGAGTCAGGTACAAATCCTATGTGAGCTTTACTGCTTTCAACATTAAGCCACTCCGAGTGTCACTTTAGTGTAAAAATCAGTCATCGCAATGACAAGATTGAACCAATATCATAGCCTTCCTTGACAGATATCAGTCTTTGTGTGTAAAAATACAAAGTGCAGCTACTTTCTGTTGTTTCAAGGATACTGGAATTTGAATCACAGCCTGAGGGCAGCAGTGACAAGTCGTGTGAGGTTGAACTTTGGGACTGTTCAGGGGATTTCAAGTAAGTGGAGGCATAGATGTTATCCTTACCTTTATGTGACAATTAAGAGAAGTGTTGTTACTTACGATGTAATATGATGGTAGTAAAATGTATTTTCATACAGATTTGAGTCATGCTGGCCTGCAATCATGAAGGACTCCAGCGGTGTGGTGATCATTTTTAACCCTGATGTTCCAAGTCACCTCAAAGAAATAGAGATGTGGCATTCGATGTTCATCTCCTCTCAAGATCTGCAGGACAGCCAGTGTCTGCTCATAGCTCACCACAAGCCTGGCAGTGGAGTGGAAGACAGACGGCTGCCTTTAGGTAACTTGTGCTGCAGTCCTCTGAGAGTCATGAGAATCATTATCTCTGGGCTAATGCAGTCACATTTTCTTGTGCAGCATCACATCTAAGCAGACTGCTGCTCATTCACTCCAACCTAGAAGAAGAGCCAGAGGATGTAAGGCAAGCTTTCTGCAGATACCTGGGAAACGTCGTGAACGCGATGTCGGAGAGTCGAGAGCGAGAGGAGATGTCCATCATTACGTAGCAGTAGCATCTATAAAATATTAAGATGTGTTTTGTTGCCATCTGCAGTACTACCACATTTTCACTCTAAATTATACATGTATGCAAACTTTAATATTCTCTACAATAGGTGTAGAACATATTCAGCGTTGGTTTCTTGCATTTTGTAAATCTTTTATGAATAAAATATGACCCAGTTCTCTCTTGAAATTAATACTCGAGACACAAAATCTACTCCTGTATACAAACATCTGTTTATTTGGAAGAATTTGGTGCAGGCTGTTGAGAATGTAATGACTGGAAAAGCAAGAGGAGGAAGAAAAGTTCAT